TTAGCTAGTATGTCTTTTTTAAATACGAGAAACTTGTCTAGGTTTAATTGACATTGATGCATTGTGTTCTTATAGCATTTCATTTAAAGATATATATATATACATATGTATACATATGTATACATATATATATATATATATATATATATATATATATATATATATATGGAAGTGGTTTAGTTTCTTTGCATGTTTTCTTTACACTGTCCACGTTTCAGAGGCATAGAGCAATGTAGGAACGATGACAGCTCTAACTTTGTATTTGTGGTGATACCACGTCTGTTCCAGACGTTTTTCGACAGTCTGCCATAGGATGTACTAGCCTTGGCGATACGCCTGTCGATTTCATTATCAATCTATCGATCTATTCACTGCGTTTATATCATGTCCATTTATCCTGATGCTTGAATCCGAGTAAGCTTTCCCTGGAGCAGCAAATATAAGTCTTTTTTGTGTTAATGATAACGTCTGAGCATGCTCTTGAGAAGTCACTGACGGTGCTCTGCAGATCAGGAGCAGGCATTTAGGGCACAGTCGTCATCAAATAGCGAGTCCATGAACCACTTCCACATGACATTTCTAAGAAAAATACTGAATGTCAAATTGCAAGACAGAATACCAGATACTGAAGTCCTTCGAAGAGCGGGTCTGCAAAGCATCTACACTATCCTGATGCAAATCCAGCTGCGATAGGCAGGGCGAGTCTGCAGAATGGAAGAACGCCGCATCCCTAAACGACTCTTGTATGGCCAACTAAGCGAAGGAAAGCGCTCGCAACAAAACGCTTCAGGGACACCCTCAAAGCTTCTCTGAAGGCGTTCAGCATAGACCCAGCCACCAGGGAGACATAGGCACATGACAGAGCATAATGACGTGGCGCTGTAAAAACTGGCTCACGGGTTGTTGAGGAAAAGAGAACAACGCTGGCAGAAGAAAAACGCCAGAGAAGAAAAGCAAGGCCAATGACACTAGCTCTTGCTGGAATAACATGCCCAGTGTGCATCGAACAATCCGGGCTCACATAGGTCTCACCAGCCACATGAGAAGGCATAAAACCCCAGTGCAAAGCCCTCAGCCCCCTGGATGACAAAGTGGTCATCATCGAACCACGATGGACGAACTATATATATATAATGATAAAAGCCGACATTTTCAGCGTTTTGTCTGTCAGCTTTTAGTGTTAATTTATATCTAATCAGAGAAAATGCACAAAAATATGCGGCTTTTATCCTTATAGGGACACTAATTAACAAATAAATAAAATCTGATTATTTAAACGTTTTTGAGAAAACGAGTTTAGTTCCATGTGTTGTCGCGACTGTCACGCTACTGCTTGAAAGTCGCTGCATAAAAGTCCATTTTAAAAAGTGTTCGTGATATTTACTTACAAACAAAAAGTAGCCGTTGCACCTAAGCTAAGCTAAGCTAATATTTTTCATTTACCTTCTAGTTTTTTAGATCAGAGTGTGACAGACGGACTTTTTGCACAAGCCTAATAGCGTCTTTTCACTTAACGGGAGCGCTAAAAAACATTTAAAAATAGCTTGAGTGAAATATTTTTAAAATAATTGAGTGAAATTATATCTACAATTTTAAATCATTCATGTAATTAATTTTTAATAGACTTGCTCTAAAAATTCTTTCAGTGCGAATTTTTTTTGATGGAAACAATTGTGTCTTGCTAAACAAACAAAAATCTGCAGAAAGTTAGAGTTGCTAAAACTAACGAAACTTTTTTATTTCATTATATAATTTAACATATTTGATTTTATAAAAAAAAAAAAAAGGTTTCAACAAGCAGCGCTAGCAAATTTACACCCTGAGAGTAACCCCGCAGTGAAAGAGTTATATAAGTTTATGCGCTTGGAATTATTTTTTATTAATTGTTTTATTTTTGGATTTTTAATGCTCAGTATATTCAGTATGCTATGTTCCATTCACTTTTGTGGACTAGTTAGGGAGGAGCCGTGGTATCTGGACGAAGCTTTCCTGCTGCTTTTTTTAATAGCAAGTTAAAAAGTTTCTGGAGTCCAAAATTCAACTCGAGATCTCGAGTCTCCATGATGGAAGACCGACGTGCTAGCAATCGTGTTTCTCATGTACATATATGCAGGGCCGGTCTTAGGCTACTGTAACCTATGCGGTCGCAGTGGGCCCGCACTTTCATAGGCCCCGCACTAATTCTCGATCTAGGTGTAAATAATTAGATTAAACCATTTTAACTTATAATTGCATGGTTTCCGTGGACAAAATGTACGATCAAGTCCTAGAAATCTCATGAAATTAATAAACAAATTCTGAAAACTCATTAAAATCTCTTGAAATAAAGATATACTTGTCATTTCGGGGCGTTATTCAATATGAAAAACTGCAATACTACTCGCGATAAAAAAGGCATTGCCAGCTTTCATTGAATAAAAATGCAATAACAGAGCGAATTTTTACCAAAACAGGAAGTTCAAATACTTAATTTTCTTTAATAGTTACTGGCATATAAATTAAAGATCTGAATGTTTATTGGCTTATTGTTGGAAAACTACCATCTACTGTAGATCGCTTTTCAAGTTAATTGGGCCATGATTTTGTACCTATTATGTGTAAAATGCAAAGCCAAAGACGAATTTAGTTTCTAATATAAAATTTTAATTTTCACTTATTATCCTTATCCCTACCCAGACTAGGCCCCGCGCAAACCGTTTCGCATAGGGCCCCGCAATCTGTAGGACCGGCCCTGCATGTATGATAGGAATTTTTGTTTTATTCGATTGCTTGTTAAAACATTTTTGTGAACAATTTAGTACACATAGACATAAATTATACATTATACAAAGCTTATCTGCCATTATCTTAGTACTTTAATTATCTGAAACAAAATTAATTACATTTGACTTATTTTTAATATTTAATTTGATTAGTTATGTTTTATCATCGAAAATAAATAATCGTGCAAAATTTCAACTTGATGTCAGAAAGGGAAGAGGGAAATAAAACTGATATAAAGACAAAGTTAATTGATAAAAGCTTTAAAAAAACAGTCGAGAGTTTTGCTTAAGGTATTCTCTGGAGTCTATGGACTTCCGAGTAATAATCAACAGACTACATATGAAACCTAGACAAGTCAACTAATAAGGTACAAAGAAAGGTGGAAAGAATTAGTATCTAATAAGATTATAATTTCACTTTCTTACATGTTTATGCCTACATTTATTGAAATGAATGTAGACTTGTAGTATTTGGTTTTCTTTTGCTTTGATATATATATATATATACTTTTTTTACATTTTTACTTCTAACCTTAGCTTATGGCTTGTAAATACTCTTCTTCATTTGTTAAAATGCAACGTTAACATAATTCTATTCATTTCATTTTATAATTAATATTTTTAAGTTACTTTTACTTTCTAATTACGAACACAAATAAATAATTAATTATATATTTACATCCATTTAAAATGAATAAAACGAAGAAAATGTTAGTTTATTTTTCTTTTCTTTAATATTGAAAATGGTGAATCTTTGAGTGACAGACAAAATAAAATTGATAATTAAAGAACGTTTGTTTTTTTTTATAAGAATATTTAGTCGCATCGTTTTATTTAAAAGTGTTTAACAGATGCTGCCATTCCATAAACTTACAAAAAAAAATGTGTGTTATTATTATATGTAGTTAAGGCTATCTTATACTTTTAAATCGTCATCATGATTTCATGATGCTGTTGCGACTTTGGAGTGAACTAAATGTGAGCTGGCACTCCTAGATCTAATTTTTGACCTAATTTTATCTAATTTATATTATTTACATAGGCCAGGGCTATGATGTTTGTAATTTAGTGTCCTTTTTAATTTTTATAGTTCAGTGCTGAGTATTTTGTAGTTTCCGCTATTTATAACTTTCTTCTAGTTTTAGTCTTTTTCTGTTATTTGTGTTTTACTCGTAGAGAAAAAGTAGTTTTTAAAATAGTTAACTAGCCTTAGAGCTGTGGATGTTCTTTCCTATTTTTTGTCCCTGGTTAGTACTGCTTATTTTTGTCTTTGGCATTAGCGTTGGATTGGTTTTTATTTTTTAATATCAGTTTATGTGCAGTTTAAGATTCTCTTTTTAATTCCGTTTAATTTGGTATATAATGTTGTGCAGTCTGTGTCTTTAGTAATTTGCTAGATTTTATTGTTGTGTACGGCTAGGTACAAGTTAGGGATATCGGTATTCCAGTTTAGTTATAGAAAATTAGCGTGACGTCATGCTCTCCGATATGTTCGCTCTGACCAGTTATAGCTAGCTCCGGAACCACGTTAAGCTCTCTTTTGTCTTGGCCAGTGGTCAGTGCTGGTAGTGGTGCCTGTGTAGTTATTTTATTGTGCGTTGTATAATTTCAGCTGGGACCACCTGTGGAAAATGTTTTTATTTTTACTTTCTTTAGTTCGTATTTGTACTAATTGTTCCTACATCTATTGCTATAGTCTGGATGCAGACTGATTAGTGTAGTGGCATCACTGGCTAGTTAATTAGTCATGATTACCTCTAATGGAACCGGAAGTTCCGTAGAGTTGGGTAGCGTCATCCCTTTTAGTCATCCTAAATGATCCCCTTATTGTTTTTCTATTGTTTGTCTATTTGTAAATATTTTATTATTTTATGTCTTCTAAAAGTATTTTTATTAATATTATAATATTTCTAGGATAACGGTTCTAACAAGTTGGCATGTTGCCGATTTTAATTTTTAATGTAAATGATGGCTGCGTCTTACTCAACGCTCCATGATGGCGGCTTTGTTAAGCCAAATCTAGATTTATGTTTATTATTGCCTGGCCCAACATGTGTTGTGGCGTAAGCTTTTAAGTAGGTATCATAATAATAATAATGTATGGCTTTTTATTAGCTAAATGAAGGTAATAGTATTTACCTCATGCATTTAGGTATGTGTATGTGCTAGACTAGGTCTAGTTCATAATTATTTTGTTATTATGTCTTATGTTTGTTTATATTTGTAATTGCAGGCTATAATTCCTGCCTAACTGTCTGCCGCAGTTATTACTGCCTAACTGTCTGCCACAGTTATTACTGCTTAACTGTCTGCCGCAGTTATTACTGTTGCCTTATAGCTGTTGCCCCATATCTGCTGTAGTAATTATTGCTGCTGCAAGTAGCTTACTGTTGTAGTTTTTCCAAATAGCTGCTTTATTTGTTAGGTTCAGTTAGGTAGGTTTGATCAATCGTTTAGTAGTGTGTATATTTAGTTTTATTACTGTTGTTTTGGTTTCATGTAAATAAAGTATATAAGTTCCTTTTATAATTTCAGTTTGTTATTTTATTTTTAGTTAGCTAGTTTAGTTTAGTTTGATTGTGCTGTCTGGTTGCTGAGGCGACTCTAGCCCCTTGGTCGCAGACCGAGGTGCACAGATTGGGCCCACCCAGTAGAGCTACCACCTGCCTATAAATTAATAAATGAATAAATGTTGAGCAGCAAGTAACAAAAAGGCCTCACTCAGTAGCGCCACCCTGACCTGCTCACATAAAGAAAGTAACTCACCGATTTTCAGGTAGCCGATATCCTTTTGATTGCAAAAGCACAGTCCCACTATGAACAGCCAATACTCCCAGTAAAAAGAAATAATTCCACAGTACTCCTAATGAAATTTACATATCCCGATTCACAAACACAAATTAAAGGAAAAAAATCCTCCGTCAAAAATCAACGATAAATAACTCCCGTTGCTTGAATCACAGAACTATATTTTTAAGCAAATATATAAAATTTCTGTTAGTTTCCATTGAGATAATTTTCGAAAATCCTAGATTGAACTAATTCACTTCTGTTAATTTTAATCATCTTATGTACATTTCCAAAATTACAAAACAATAATTATGAGACGAGAGTGCTCTTATTTTCAATTGTCAATTACTGGATCTAGATCTGAACAATAAATTAAAATTAAGTTATTACTTTTATATAGCGCTACTTTCGTGCTTACAGCAGGCTCTGTGCGCTATGGTCCAATCTCAGTTGTGGACCAATGGGGGGAGGGGTATCTGGGCAAAGGTTTTTCCGTGCTGCCTTTAGACGCTCAGTAAACAACTCTGCTCGAGTCATGTGTCGAACCTCGGGCACCCTTCATAGGTAGCGTACTTGGCCTCTCGACCACGCTTCCCACCAAATTATATTAAATTACATTAAATTATATGTTGCAAAAGTTAGGGCATAGGTTAGGGCTGGAAAGCAAACTTTATTTATTATAACTACTTTACAAAAGATCTCCATGTCCAGTCTAGATATAATATATATAGGTCTGTTATTATGACATTTTCTAAATAAAAAAAAGTTTCTTTAATGCAGACTATAATTGTCAAGACTCCTTTCCTCCCGAATATATGTATGTGTACCCCAATGTTGATTACTAAATGTGCCCAAGTCCTGGGCAATGCCATAACGACACATACAACGACAGAATAAAGATTCAGAATGCCAATCCACAGACATATAACATTTTTATTACATAATATGTACTATAATACAGAATCAGTTTAGACATTTAAGTATCCAGTATCAATTGAAAATATAACAGCTTAATATTCCATAGACTGAATAGTGACAACTCAGAAAAATAAATAGAATCTACACTTTGACTCTATCTATATCCAAAAGTCCAACTGTCCTGGACAAGGAACAACACCACACTGCCTTATTATGAGTACATTATATTCAACAAAAACATCTCACAAAGTAAAACAATCCAAAACAATAGGAGTTTTGAAGTCAACAACCTGAATTGCCCCATTTCTCCTTTACAGTTAACAGGAGACCCAGGCTAACAAGAACTCAGTCCTGACAAGGATGTTTGATTTTTAGCGGCTCCGAAAGGGGAAAAGACGCTATTAATTTTGTGTGAAATGTCTGTCCGTATGTCCGCCTGTCCTGTTTAGATCTCGTAAACTAGAAAAGATATTGAAAATCCGACATCACAATATTTTAGACCATTCAAAGTTCTGATGCAACGGCTACTTTTTTTTTTCTGAAAATGAAAAATCAAATTTTTAAAATCAGTTATGCAAGCAGTTTTTTTAAAGAGAAAAGGGTAATCAGTATGCATTATAAGTTAGACATAATTTAAAACAAATAGTAATCTTGTAAACTTCATTTTCCTATTTTTTGGAAGACCAGTGACCATATCATCCGAATAAGAGATTGAGTCTTTTGAAAACAATTAGATTATAAGACTTAGGAAGGGAAAGCGCGGTGGCTGAGCGGTAAAGCGCTTGGCTTCCGAACCGGGGGTCCCGGGTTCAAATCCTGGGGAAGACAGGGATTTTCAACTTTGGAATCTGAGTCCACTCTGCTCTAATGGGTACCTGACATTAGTTGGGGAAAAGTAAAGGCGGTTGGTCGTTGTGCTGGCTACATGACACCCTCGTTTACCACAAAAACAAATGAACTTTACATCATCTGCCCTATAGACCACGAGGTCTGAAAGGGGAACTAGTTAGGCCAGGTTCACATTTAATTTAACATTCACTTTCACCTATCCTTTGATCTGCTGGACCGTTGGTGCACTACACAAGATCTGTTAATCTTCATTCTCCATTCTTATCTCTTAATTGTCTTTGATATAATTTCATTCGGATTTTCTTTCTGAAAATATTGAAAATTTTGGGGGCCGATTTTGAGTTTGTGTTTCCACACAAACTGTTTTTTGTAACCTTGGACTTATTTTTCAAACAAATATAAATGTTCAAATGTATATTCTAGTAAAAAAAAATCTTAATCTGAAAGTAATCTAGCTATAGCTATTTAGTCTGCTCTGTGTATAATGTTGACAAATCTTATACATATTTAATTTTAAAATAGACAACTAACTAAACAACTAAACACTTATATTTAAACAGTATAATAATTATTTGGTTAGGAAAAAGCATCCTTTGGTTTTAGCCATTCCAATTATTTTATTATTTGTTTGAGAATGGACAAGTGACGCCAAAACTGGGAACGCGGAAACACAGGCAGGGACACGTGGAAAAACTTACAAAGTCCTAGTAAATCGGACGAACGGTTACAGCTAGATAGATAGGAACAGGTAACGATTGCCAGGTTCAGAACAGGGCGCTGCCAGGTTGGAGCGTACTTTGCCAAATTTAAGTCGAACTTCGACTCACTCATAGAGGAAGAGACGATCCAACCTACGAGTACTACACAAACATCATGGCCCTTTGAGTGAAATTTCTGGCCCATGGTGAGTTGCTTCTGTACCACTAGCTTGTTGCAACTTCGAAGAGACCTGTGACGTGGAGACAAGCCAATGGTCTGTACTGCCCACAGGTTACGATGTTTCAGTCATTGTTTAGGCCTCGGTTGTTCTTGGTTGAATGATGATCTTCAAACATCAGACATAGTACAACTGAATTTCTATCCTTTTGACTTTCGTTGCTAGACTTTTTGGCTACTTTCAGTTTGAATTTTGTATGGTGAAGTATAATGAGACAATGTTATTTTAGACGGTCCGTAAGTTTTAAAGCTAAATATTACATCCAATTCTGTGGATTTGTTTTCTAAATTATTGTGTAATGCAGTGGCGTAGCCCAGTTCAAGAACATGATGGCTCGCAAAGATTATGACCCCTTAAACACATTAAAAAAAATCGCATAAGTTTTAGACTACTTTATCTTGTAGACCAACTTGAGGACATAATATTAATTATCCAATACATTGTTCTCTAGTTATTGAATAGAAGAAGCGGTCATTTTATATGATGTGCCAATATGCTGTGAGATATAAACACGTACTCATTTTCCACCTAGTCATCATCTTCATGAAACCTACCTCGAAAAGGCACGGTCAGGGCCCCACAAGAGTTCCTTTTTGTGACCCTCTTTCAGGTAACGATACCAGGAAAAAAGAAGAAGAAGACATAGGAAACGGTTGGACAACAAGATCAAAGAATGAATAGGCCTGGCATTGAATGCAATTCTATCCAAAGCAAAGGACAGAGAGGAATGGAGAAAGATGTTGACAAATCCAGTGTGGTGGACCAACAGTGAAGGTGAAGGTGATAGTTCGGTTGCTGCTAGAGCATGATAGAAATAACTCACAGCCTGCTCGGTAGGTGGTACTAGCCCTCCCTGTAGGCGAAGGAGTCTGCAACAGTGTTGCCGGTCAAAACTATGTGAATCTGTATAAACTGCAAAGTTATCAGAATACATGACTTGCTCTTCGCGAGTTAACTGATCCCGATCTATTAGTACATTTATAACACATTGATATACACCTGTGCTATTTGTCGCAGATCGATATATGAATACCTTAGCTAGCTTACATATGGGTCCAATAGTTTGAAACGATAGTCTTGAACAACGGAGCGGAAACAAGGCTGTGAAAGAGTTGGCTGTTTTGCCTGTTTGTAGAATGGTAAGCTTTATTATCAGCAATTCTTGTGACGTCTTCTGCGTCGTATTAAATTTTTATTTGGCAAATATTCACCTTTATTATTGTTCTAAGCAAGTTAGTACAGAATGGTCCCATCATCTGATCTAATATATAGTGCATTTCTATTTGCCATTGTTTCGCCAAAATTTACTGGGATTGTTCTGAAATTCACTAAAACAAATCTTATTGCTTTGTACTAATTTTTTTCAGATATTTTTAAGAGATGTGATTGGACTTCTTTTTAATACGTTGAGCAGTCCAGTGGCGTAGCTAGTGCGGGCCACACGGGGCATCAAGTGATGAGGGGCATCAAACGGAGGACAACATTTCTCAGTAAAAACTGCACACATTGTACATTCATGAACAAACATGAACTAATGTATTTGATTTAAAAATTTATTTATTTTGCCACTCTGTTAATTGATTGATAAGTCTTACTGGCTCTCATAGTTCTATCTCAGATGGAGAAATTGTCTTCTCTGTTTAAAATGGTTAACGGCAGGGATCAAAAGATCCTAAAGGTAAAAATCTGATAATGAAAAGAATCTTGGATATCATTTATTTCTCTCAAAGCAGAATCTGGCCTTCAATGGGCATTTTAAACGAGTTGAAGAAGAATAGTAAAGAAAAATCTCTTAAGTAGGTGGATCTTTAGTTGCTATGCAGTCTTAATTTTCTCACCTATTTTGGGTTCTTGGCCCCTGAATTAATTGAAATAAAAAGTGGGTAAGTCTACCTTTAAAAAAAAACTATTACGTCAATTTGAGACTGCACATTTAAATGGAAAACATTAAAAACATCGATAACTGAAGCCGTTATTAGCTTACCTTTAGTGAATAAAGCAAGTACTCTGATCTGAGGGGTAGTGCAGAACATAA